GTATGGGATAGACTTGGTGACCTCTTGAGGTCCTTTCTACCAAATTCTCTGATTATGTGAGGTCTTTTCTGTTTCTTGGGGGGAGGGGATTATTTGTGTTGTTTTGTTTTAGCATCATTATGCAGACTTTATTTGTGTGACAGTAATCTTGCATACCACCCTCATACCATCATATTTACTGGATGCTGTGCTTCCAGATTGTCTATACCTATTTTTCTAAGTACCAAAGAACAAGTGCAAATACGCAAGTAACATTTGTCAGGCTTCTTATTGTCAAATACATTTTAGAAAAGTATGTATATGCAAGGATTTATCTTTTCTTATGGCTTCTTTAAATGTAAACCAAGCTGGATGATCCATTTTATTTGAAAAAACAAGGATACAAAATCTTAAAATACTAATACGTTGCATACTTATTTTAAAAGAACAGCTGGTCTCATTATACTTTCAGTTTGGTTTTGGCAATGTTCCAGTTGAAATGTTTTCTGCCGAAAGGTTACTCTGATCAGGCTGATGCAGTCTTTTGCCTTGGTGCAGGTTTTGTTCATGGTTATTTCTTGCTACAACTGTTTAATATTGACCAAAAGGATCATCCATTCTTCTGTTCAAGTCTAACACCACTTTATCGTGTTTCCGTTATGTGCAGTTCTGTGACACTCTGCACTGCATTGTCTGGAAGCTCTTAGCTCTTTTTTTTTTTTTTTCCCCACCACAGAGTAGATATTCCAGAATGAGTGCCAACATGATCTTGCAAAAAATTATAGAGGTCCAGGAGTTTGTTACTTGTTGGGTGGTTTTTGTTTGCTTCGCTATGCACTGAACTGCAAGTTAAACAGTCTGATGTTTGCAAACTAAGGCAAACACAGTAAGATATCAGTAAGAGGCTGAAATTGGTACGGATAGAGTGAGTGGCCACCCATCGACCTATCCCTGTGGATAGCTTCCAAGCCTGCCAGAGACGAAAGTTATGAGTTTGGTACATGGATGTGAGAGAAGATGGGATTTCTTGGCTAACTGGAGGTTCATTTGCAAAAGACAGCGGAGTCTGAAGAAAGTGATGTATTCAAGAGAGAACGAGAGAGAGAATTTACCTCTGAATGTTTAAGTCCTGCTACTTACGCAGGTTTAGTTATTTCAAACTTTCTGTGCCACCTTGGGATTTTCTAGTAGCTGTATTGCAACTTTCTGTTCTGTTTCTCTTTTCTCGTAATTGTACTTTTTTCCAGGATTATGGTTTTAAGTAACGTGTTACTTTCAGTATTGTAGTCAGGGTTGCAAAACTAGATGATGGGAGCTTGTAAGAATCTGTCTTCCTGCTTCTTAAGCATGCAGTTGTAAAAGTCAGCTAGAGGCATGCACTTGCTCAGTTTTGGTGCTCAGTTCTTTCCTGCTGTTCGGAAAGAGAATGGGGTGAGAGGTGGTTCTTCCCCTGACTTAGGTTGTATCACAGGCAGTGTCCGCTCTACTATGGGAGAAGGAAGGACAGCTTTGCAGTGATATGCTGACAAACAGTGACAGCCCTAATACAAAAATGATAGTACTTCATGTAGGATGAGGATAAGGGATGCTGTGAAAACAACACCTTCATAAGAGCTGGATTTTTACCTAGAACTATACATTACCTCTTGTACTGTCCTTGTAAAGAGAGTAAGAAAGTAGTTAATTGAGTTTTGTGGGTTTTAGAAGACACTTCATGTGATGCCACCTCATCTGATGACTACTTCCACTTTGTTGTCCAAATGTCTGTGAGTGCATTGTTTATCTGCAAAACTCAGTAAAATAAGTCATGTAGAGAGCAAGTTATTGTTGACCTGCTGATGATTGTTAAAGTCATGTGAAACTTTCTTCAAGTTATCGGAATTGTTCCTTGAGACTGGTGGTAAAAACAAACATAGGCTATAAATGTTGTTAGCCTGCTGGGCAGTGGTACAATAGAGTCTTTGTTCTTACGGAGCACTTAATTGTAAAGTGGGTCATGAAACTATTGCCTTCTGATTTGAGGAAAGGTGGGAAAATACCAGCTTTTTTAAAGGACCTTTAACTGGCTTGTGGACAGTGTTGATTGTTCACTTATTTATATTTTTCAAATACAGTTAAAAATAAAGGACATGTTGTGTCTACAGTCAAAATAACTTATTCTTTGGGGTTACTAAAGGAGTTGGAAATCGTAATTTCCTTCACATAAAACATACACTCTGCATCTCTTGGGGAAGATGGCTAAATACAGGACCTGGTTATTGCAGCAGAACATTGTGAAGGAATGAGAAGTCGGATTTCACTTGTATTTGAAAAATGTTTCAGCAAGTGTTGCGAGCTCAAGGCTCTTTTTCTGGTGTCATGCTAGTTTCTGGCATGCAGCTGATGCAGGTCACTGGAAAAACATCTTTTCCACAAAGATACCTTTACCACTGGCAGCTAAATTGGTCCATAAGGCTTAGTTAAGTGTGATGTCCTCTACTTCTTGGATTCTTCAGTGTACTGCTCTGCAGGCTGAGTAGAGCTACAGCAGTCGGATATCCCAGACTTGCTGTGTCAGGAGGATATTTGTGGTTGTTTAACTATTACCTTCAGATCCCCCTTGACACTAGACAAACCACAAGATACTGTATTGTTAAAATACTTACTATATTGCTAGAATGCAGACTGTTTACTAGGTTTAGGGGCAGGAACATGGTAGTATAAATGCATTCAGCTGAATAGGTGGATAATCAGAAAGATTTTTCGCAGCTGTCTATCTTTAAGCATGGTTTTAAGTAAAAGCATTATTATCATCATCATTATTATTTACCCAAATTCTCCCTACTGTTTTATTTGGATTTAAGTATTCTCTCCAAGCATTCCTGGGATATATACCTTCTAAATAACACTGTTTACTTTAGCAGTGGTTCCAAAGACCTATTGATGGTTTTCCCTGCCCCCTGTCACTCCCAATTAGATGTGCTGATGACCCTAGGGAATAAGCTAGAAGGGTTCTGTCCAGAAAGCAGAGGAAACCTGTTAATAACTGTCCTAGTGCTTAACTAGCCATGAACATAAACGTTAACTTGCTGTAATGCAAACACTCCCTTCTGGCACAGCAGGACTCAGTCTGCAGCATTTAAAGAACTTACGTGCTTTTTCACATCAAGATATGTTGTCGACTATGCCTTATAGAAGTCTATAAATGAGAATAATGCATCGGTCTTAGTAGGTTTTGACTAGACTTAAGAGTAATCAGCTGCATTAGGCTGAGAAAGGTTGAGAGAAAATTTACCCCGGGTCAGTTTTTGAAGAAAACCGTAACAGTTACGGGTGGTGTTTGGAGGACTGAGATACTAACTCCGATTTTAGTCATATTGAGATGCAGCCTGGGGGGAGGAGGCTACACAGTGGCTGAAGGGTCACTGACAAAGCTTTCTACAAGCAAATTAATCCTTTCAACTTCTTTTTTTCCAAAAAGATGTGTTTGGCTGTTGTATGCTTATTAACCTGTGGTTGTAACTGTTGTTTGTAAAGATGTGAGTTGGGGGAGGAGGATTAAAAATAAGGAGAGAAGAGCAATATTTAAATTGAAGTGCAAGACTGACACAAGAAGAAATAGATGTGAACTGCTTATGACTAAAATGGGAAGAATCAGAACTGTGCTTTAGCTCAGGAAGTGGTTTCCAGTACATGTTCAGCTGCTGCTCAGAGTTCCTCATGGTTACCAGTTGTCTGTTTTGACTTGCTTCCTATCAGCTGCACTAAAAAAAATAAAAATCATTGTCTTGATAAATGAAATGCATTTTTTCTATCAAGTGCTAATGGTTCAGGTTAGTTGCTTGATCTACATCTGGATAATAATTAACAGGAAAGATCAAAATTCTCAGGCATCAGTAATTTGAAAGTGCAGCATCAAGTCGCTTGTCATCCTTGACTGACTCGGTTTATTACAGACTCCCAAGGTTAGAACTACAAAAGCAAGGGGCAACAAACTAAAACATGTGGGAGCCAGCCCAGATGTGGATGTTGGTGGAAGGTGCAGTGGCCATTTATACATGCCTACATCATTACTGTTCACCAGCATCAAAGAAAAACTTGCTCCTTTGCACTGAGCATGGGTTTAGATATTTTTGCTGTATGTTGTCCTGTAGGTATACCTTAACAGCTGTTACGCATCAAGATCCCCGTTGGTGGCTTTTTGTCTCTCACTTGTGTGTTAATTATTCAGCGGATCAGAATCGGTCAGGCTTTTCTGTGGGCTGTAAAGCTTGTCCAGCCAATCTCATCCTTTAACTGGAAGACTGCTGTCTTTGGTAATGACATAAATTAAAGTATTAAGCAGTTTTGTCATGGACTATTATGCAGTTGCATCACAATCCAGACTGTTTTAATTATTCTTTACCCCATATTGCCTCAGGCTGTGACCTCACAAGCTAAACAAGGTCATGCTTGGCTAGGATGAGGGAAGTCAAAGAAATTCAGCGCTACAGGAAATATTAGTGATTCAGTAGGTGAGGTGACACCCCTGAGTTAATGTTTTCCCTGTGCCCCGTACTGGTAAAAGATGCTGCAGCTTGCATGATGAGATGTAAAACCTAGATCCTTTGTTAAAGTTTCAATGCTATTCCGGGTAAAAGTGCAGATGTTAACTCAGGGCTCCTGCCCCAGTTCAGATTTTAATGGCTATGTTCTCTATACATTTCTAAATCCTGTTTTAGTAGAGTCACATTATCCTCTTGCACTTGTCTTAAACTGTTCTTAGAGTTGTTGGGAAACTTTGTGTTCCAGAGGTGGTGACCTGTTTACAATTGGCAACAGATCAATTTGCAGAAACAATGGTCCATTTTGAGATCTTTTGAAATCAAGGGAATTACATTCATTTAAGAAACGTCAGGTCAAAACTGAAAAGCTGCCAGATTTTTTTTTTTCTTTCTTTCTTTTAATGTGTGCAGAATACTTTTTTTTTTTTTTTTGCTTGAATATACATATTTGCAACACGGTTGAATGTACTCATGCTTACATATTTTTATTTTCCATAGGATTCAAGTGCCCTGTATGTTCAAAATTTGTATCTTCTGATGAAATGGATTTACATCTTGTGATGTGTTTGACAAAACCGAGGATAACCTACAATGGTAAGAAAGAAGTAAGCTGCTAATTATTTATTCATTTTAAACATTAGCGTGACAAGAATTCCTTATTTAGTAAAATACTCTGGTAACTAATGCAGTGGACTCAGAAATGGTATATGTTTTTTGCTTGTTTATTTTTTTCAAAATAATTCCTATCAGCTTGGTCCTTTTTTATACTGTCTGCCAATATAATTTACACTGTTGACTTGTTCTACAAATCTATAATTATTCTTATTTGAGTTTGTGTATTCCGTTTTGTTGGCCACAAGATCAGATATTGATCAGTGTCCTTTTAATGCCCGCTTGAGATTATGTGTAGTTTAAACGTCCTCTCATCTAATGACATCAAATAGTGAGGTAGGTCAATCAAGTCTCCTTACTGGACGCATTGTGCATTTGCACCTTATTCAAGAAAATTACCCTTTCTTGAAGGAGCCAAAGAACTTTCTCCTTCTTCAGCTGATTGTGTATGTGATACTTCGTAAGGACTGGTAGATATGTATGTCTCGCCTTCATTTTTTTGTGGGTTTAGTGAGACTTTTGCCCATGTCAAATGAATCACCTGTTGTAGCTCTGTTTTTTCCCCATACCACTAAGCCCTCCTTCTAGGCAACCTTTGATGTAAGGCAAACAGGACTTTTGCGACTGTTGGGATTAAACCTTTCTATTGGCATGGCTTAGACTGACAGTTCTATGGCAAACACACAAAAAGGTTTCAGAGAACTAGGAATTAAAAAAATCTTACTGAAATCTTAGTGCGTGCTTTGGCAGAGCTGCCCTACCATCAGGAAGTCTTACAGTGCCTCCTGAATGAGCTTATTGCTCACCAGCCATCAGATGTGGAATACGTGAGAACAGAATGCAATTAGAAATAAATTGTAAAGGAGGCGAAGTCAGATTGTTTTTGGAGGTGCAGAGCAAAAAGTTGAGTGTCAGTAGTCACAAGTGGCATCAGGGAAAAATCTGATTCAATGTAAGGTACAAATGCCATATAATGAGGGTGGTCAAACACAGTAGCAGGCACTTGAAGAGGTGGTGCAACCTCCATCCTTGGACGTGATTAGAAATTGACTGAACACAGCTCTGAGCAACTTAGTCTGGGTTGTTTTTTTTTTTTAATTGGAACAAGTCTTGAAGAGTGGTTGGGCCCACCTTATTCTTTGTCTGGACAGCAATAATGCTTGGCCTTAGTCAGAAAAACAATTTGAAATCATATACTTACAGTTGTGAAATCGATTTCAAAGCACAGCACTCGGGAAAAGCAAATACTTTTTTCTCCTGGTGTTGCCACACGTGTATTTGAGAAGGTTGACTTCATCTGACAGAGGGGTCTTTGTTTCTCTTTGTTTTGCCTTTTGTAAATTAGGACTAAGTATTTTCCAAGATAAGTTGTTAGAAATCTGTGTACTGAGGGATGCTGAACATCAGGGAGAAGCAGGCTAGTTGCCCCAGTCAGGGCGGGATAATGCACTTGGGATCAGTTAGGGTAGAGCAGGAGGAGGCAAGTTGGCAGAGAGCAAGCTCTGGCGGTAATCTGGCTGATGGGATGTCCACAACTTATGAGTTGACTGACTGAAATCCTTTGCCCCTGCTGCTCCCTACATGTACATATAAGCGCACTCAGTTGACTAACTTTTTCCAAAGAAACAGCAATTACATAACGTAACCTCTCATTATTGTTTGTGATGTTCATTTGTATATTTGTATCACAACAGTGCCATATTCAACCTTTTTTTTTGTTTGTTTGGGTTTTTTTTGGTTTTTTTTCCTCCTGTATTGTTTCTCTCAGCTGGCACACTGGTGGTTGGAGCTCCTTTGGGCCATCTTGTTACCTCTGCACAGTCCGTTAAGTCAACAAACTTCCATATAAATGAGCAGAAGTAAAACCTGTGAGTGGCACCTGAAGCCACTCTCTGGATAATCTGCAACATGACAAAAGCAGTTGTGGACAACGCAATATGAGTTACTCCCAGCAACTTGTCGTTTCGCAATTTAGGAGTGTGTCTGCTGTATAGAGAGCCTCAGAAACTCATTCTAGGAAATGGTTATATAAGCTTGAAAGGAGAAAACTACTAAATTACATAGGCTGGTTTGAGAAGAGACACTTAGAAGTATGGTCTCGTTCTCATAAACGCTTAATAGAAGTGTGCATTGATCCTTGTAACTGCAGTTGGTTAGCTCCTGGAGTTGTGGACTAAATCTTAAATTATAGCCTATAGCTGGTTACATAAATTACTGCAGTACAAAGAAATTGAGGATATGGCTTCAGAGTTGTGCAGCGCTCGGTTGTTACTTTGTGGTATGATTGTGATCCCTTTAATGAGGCTAATGAAAGAGAATTAACTAGCAGATTAGTAGCTTAATGCTGCCATGATTACAGACCCAGAAATTACATATGAATGTCTATATGCATGTGGTTTTTTTCTTGTATATTTTCCTGTTTGCCCTGATGAGGAGATCAGTGATGCCCTTTTGTCATAAGTCATAAGCAGGGCATCTCAAGTTCTGCTTGAGAGAAGAAAAGATGCCGCTATCAACTTTTGATAACCTTCTTCTAAAATGGAAGGCATCTCTTTATGCTGTACTTTCTCATTGTTATCTTGGCCTTATGTCAGACATACTGAAATAGAGCCAAGTAGGCATTATTTGCTTGTGTTGGTCACTGGTGGTTTCCCAGTCCTATTAGCACTAGCAGGAAAAATACTTTTCTTTTTTTTTTTTCCCCCTTCCCCTCACTTTGTTTTCTCTCTGAATTTTGCGTTGCAAGTAGCTGAAGGGAGCCTTAGGCTTTGCAGGTGGTGAGATGTTTAAAAATTGAGCTGTTGGACTGAACTGTGCTTGTGTCTAGTTCTGTTTCAGATGCATTTCCTTATGATACTGTAAATGTATTAGTTGTCTTTTTAAGAAACAACAGGGAGCAAATTGTATGTATTTTGTCATTCTGAGAAGACAAACCTTCTTTCTTTTAAAATGTGAGTCTGAGGCATACAGTCTTCCCCAGAAAAACATTATAAGACTGTTTAGATGTGATTTGAAGTTTAAAAGAAATTTATGAGTCCTCCCAACCAATCTCTAATTGCTTTCTGAGCTACGTTTGTGCATTGCATTTGGCAGTTGGAAGGGTCAGTGAACTGCAAACTCTGGCAGCTGTCTGATTTAGACATGTTTTCTGAAAGAGAGTGGTCACAAATTTGTCCCAGTTCTATGCTGGAAGTTGTGCTGACTTTCATATAAATAAATCAGTACATTTTATTAGCCTTATTCTTTCAAAATCATGTGACTTGCCTGCAACAGAGATCTCATTGCTTACTCAATTTGGCATGTAAAAAGAGCTCTTTCTTTTTTCTGTGGAACTTTGTTCCAAGTTATCTCTTAAACTACTTGTGGTGCTCATACATGAACCAATATCTATGCGTTTTGATACAAAAGCTGGTTAAATGAATGGAATTGTGCAAAAACGTTGTGGTGTTTGGTGTTACTGTCTTAAATGGTCTTGCTTTTTTTAGCAATTAAAAACTCCCTTCATACTGTTACTTGCTGAGCTGCTGAAAAGCCCAGAGTAGGTCCCATGCACTGGTTAGCCACAGGTTGCTAAAAGCCAGTTTTACGAAGAAAGTGGGTTACTTGCTAGTTGACAGATTTTCTGAACACCACTGCTAAAATATTATATGGCTATACCTATTCCTTTGAGCTTCTCCAAAGTGTTAAATGAGGCCCCTTGCACCATCTTATTCACATTTGCAGGGAGCCCACTTAGGGAATACTCTGCCCAAGATGTTGTTTACAAGGTAGCCCTGTGTATTTGGTCAGGCAGGGGCAGTTACTTGAATAACTCAGTGCTTTGGAAGCAACTTGCCTTTAGCTCCTTGCTGATGATTCAACCTATCTGGTGAAGTTTAGGTTTTGAATATGATTGTTGTTCATTTTGTGTTGTTACAGTATCGATGCTTTTTTTCACTGGAAGGTGTTTTATAAAAATTGAGGATACACTGGAGAGACTTGTGTCTTTAGGGGCACTAGTTTTAGATGCTTTGCAACAAATGCAACTGATTCCTCCTGAAGAAAGTTAGTTCTAAAGTAATTCTGGTTTTAATTTTAGAATTCCTTTGTTTGTTTCTCGGAACACTTTGTAAGACTTTATTATTATTATTATTATTGAAGGGCCCCTCTGAGAGCAGGGACTAGCAGCCTGGCACCTGGCCAGATGGGGAAGCCAGTGACCCCTGAGAGCTGGGGAGAGCCAGTCAGCTCACTGGACTGGTTGGCTAGCTCGGTGAGCCGGCCTGTCCTCTTTCAAAAGTTTTGATTGAATTAGCACATTCCTGTGGAGTATTTTGGGTTTCATCAAGTCAGCACTTTGTGTTGGAACGCTGTTCTACTGGAAACTTTCTAAGCAGGTCTCCTTAAAGCTGCTTGCTGAGGGGTGGTGCCGCTTTCACTCACACCGCTCTGCATTTAATTCAGATACAGCAGTGGGTCTGATTATTGGCCTACATATGTACTGAAGTTCATTTTAAGGGGAAAAGCTTTTGCTAGTGTAATTTCAGAGAGGGAGAGCATGAGACATCCAGTGCATGAGCTGCTGGAGACTTTTTCCTTACTCAAGGTAATGACTTTGCAATTCTTCTTTTTAAATTACAATAAGTGAATTTTTAGCCTTATGACACCAAAAACGAGCAGGGGATCAAACATCACAGATAGTGGGGATTACATATATGATTTTATATTTAAAGTTTTATCCAGCTCTGTTTTGAATGGAGGATTAGTATGTGGAAAGACTGTTACAGACAGAATATTGAAAATTAAGGTAGATGTACTGGAAGGAAAACATGAGTGAAACTTGTTGTGCTCTTCCTGTCCGGCAATGTACTTTGTCTTCTGGGGTGTTCAAATCTAACACCACGCACAGCTAGCCAAATATATTCCTGTGCCATCTACCTAAATTCAAAGTGACTTGGGCCACAGCAGCGCAACTGATTTAGATTAGCAAGGATGCAAAGCAG